GTTAAAAAACAATAACAATGAGTGTCGATACACGTGTCCTTTCCTCGTTGTACGGGAATGGTCGCGATGGGAATGCGGGGAGTTGACACCCAGATGAGTTGGAACAATCGGTCTACATGGCAAACAAATTCTGAGTATGTGAATCTACCCAATCGACTGTTTAATCACAAAAGTAATCAGCTGTGATAAACGAACTTTATTGCATTTCATTCATTCGGCGAACTGATCAAAAGAAAAAGTGTGAGTACGATTCAACCACAACGACAATCATCGTTCATTAAAAGAGCAACAAACATGCATTCCCATAATCTTTGCAAGATTATAACTTAGTTAGCCGCATTCAATGCGCACATGTATACAAAAGTCCTTAGTTATTAAAGAGACGCATCCACAATCGAAAGAGAAAACCAATAGGATCCCCTGGAGCTTGCTGGTCCCTTTGAGTTCAATGATGCTCGTTCATACGAGATCCGATTGAATTCAACAGGGGCGAGCGAGATCAAGGAATTCTCGAGTCATTTTGGCATCCAATGGATGGATAAAAGCAAAGGAAGGAGAGAGAGCTGTCTCTTATACACATCTAGATGTGTATAAGAGACAGGAGAGAGAGAGAGAGAGAGAGAGAGAGAGAGAGAGAGAGAGAGTTTGACTGAAAAAGAGTATCGAGGACGGAGGAGGAGAGCTCATGTCATGCATACAATCTTGAGGGTGACCATCCTGCTATTCGTCGTAGACTTAACTTATGAGAACCAAAGGAAAACAAATTTAAAAATCAAGGTGCACCGGTCTTCTGCTCTCTGATAATGGGCCCCGACCATGCAACCACTCGTACATACGTACAACCTCCTTATCCAGGTATTGACGATCCCAACCGCAACGTACCATCCTCATAACCATAGTGATCGTCACCCGGCTAACTCAGTCTTTCCATAAACTTGCCCAGATCCCCCAGTTCGTCACGATCGCCCGACACACAATCATGCATCCATACATTGCAGTCGGCTCGTTAGGACTTTCCGACTCGCTGCTTACACACCACCTAGCCACAACTTCCCTGAAGTTGGCAAATGGGTTGAGAGAGTTTTTTGGATGCCCTTGCGGGTTTTATAGTTGCGAAGAAGGGAGTAGAAGATGGAGGAGAGTGAGGCGGAGGTAAGATGGAGTGAGGGGGGAGTTTGGGTTAATCACCCGAGGAAAGTCATATCGATCCCGTGAGTTTCATCCCAACCAATCAGATTACAGCATGCGAGGAGTATTCTCCTTACACGATGTTATTTGACGGCTTGAATACCCTGAGGGAGGATCGGTAGGGAGTTCCTGTATGGGGATGAAGGCGGGAAGGAGAAGATCGCGAAAAGTAGAGCGGAACGGGACCAAGATTCAAATGAGAAGGAGTAAGGGTGAAGCGCGAGAAGAGAGCGGATGAAAAACAATTACGGGTGAAAGAGAAAAGGTGCGAAGGGGAGGAGGGTGAAGATGGCATGGGTCCGAGCGGGAAGCGGGGAAAGCTTGCATGCATGGCGTTGGTGCAAACAAAGAAAAGGCACCGAAACAGTTACGTTCCATCCATTATAGTTTTAAAGCTATTTCAAGATTAAAAGATTCAAAAACAATATCCACGCGTGGAATTGGGCACGTGAAAATCCTACGTCTATCTAACTTTCTACAGAAAATTCACGGATATTTCAAAGGTGCGTACGGGAACAAGCATTTGCAAGAAAGGACACTTCAGCGGGAAGAGCGCCCGTAAGTTTCGGAGTTTCCAACTGTCAAGCGAAATTCCTAGCGCGCTCGCTAAGCCGCCCGTAATTCCTACGTAGATGCATGGATTGCTGAAAGGAAATTGCAAAGAAGTTCAAAAGAAACGTCGTTTCATACATGAGCGGGTCTGGTTGGCTCGCAATTCCATGCACTGGGGAGATAGCAAAAAGAAGTGGTACCCGAAAAGAGCCCAAGAGAAATCCAATGAGTCAGAACAACAAATACTCAGGGCTTCAGAAGATCGTTTGGGCACGGAAGCTGGTACGTCACATACGTCCCTTCCCCACAGCGCAACCACATTAGCTCTCCAACTATATACTAACAACCTTGGTCTATGGGCTCGACGACAAGTCGGGTTCACCCCTCAACTTGTGACCCCTTCACATCACATAGATTGCTTTCCTAACTATTTGCCCCTAAGCTGCCGATTGTTATTTCGTTTTCCCCGTCAGGACATCCGTCCGTCATCTGGGTTGGCTCAATAGTTTAATTGGTATTAGAGTTGGTTGCATATCGGGCACACACAAACTCATTCAAGCCAAAGCGACCACTGCCCTGCGACTGGGCGCCAGATGCTACTGTGGACTTCCAGTTCCCCCCGCATCCTTGCTGAAAGCAGCTTTGCTAAACCCTTGCTAAACCCCTGATGTACCCAGATGACGGTCTGACGTTACACACCCCCTTCTTAGTGCTGATTCACCAAGGAGAAGGCTAGTGGGGGAGAAGGGTCTGGGAACTCAGAGAGGGGTGGATGGGATGGAGGTATCAATCATTGTCCAGTCATGGAATAAGAGGCGGTAATCCCAACGAAATCCTCATAAGACCCCCCCTGTTCTAGCTACATAGTAGAAATAGCGGAATACATCTGGGTGCAATACAAAACAAGTCAATTCCATGCCAGCCCCGAAAGTCGCTCCAAGACTTTTTTATGGTGACGGAATCTTTCTGCACGGCTGGGGGCGCGTACATTGGCCGAATTTCTTCATTATCCCGAAATGCTCGTTGTTTCTTCTGCTCTCCACCCTCCTCCTCTCCCTCCCTCCCTCCCTCCCTCTACTCACACCCCTCCAGTGCGCCGCAGCTGCACTGAAGGGGGTCCACTTGTTCTAAGTTATGCCGATTCCTCGTTTATCCGCTGTGTGATGGACCCCCTGCTCACACCGTCTTCAGCACTCCTAATGCGTCCTGGAGATCTATGCTTGACCGGCAATCCTTGAGGTCGGGTGGGAAGTCGGGCGACGAGGGCGTGGGGGGGAAGGGAGAAGGGCTGCGACCCCGCGCGCTCACAGTATGTCAGTGCAGCGAGGCCCTTATGCCCAAACGAAATTCAGTCCAAGAAGTCGTATCGCAGTGTGAGCAACGCCTTGCGTAAAGCATCGGAGTGTGTAGCTATGTGAGGGAAGTAAGCGTTTGAGCGCTGTCGCCCTTGAATTACACCTGTGGTCAGTGACACACAAGTCGGCTCGAGATTCCATAGACCAGGATTCTTCCTTGGTGTTCATATATGGCCGTATGTTATCTAGATCGATGGCCAGGGACGAAGAGTCCGTGTAGGTTGGACCTCGCCCAAGGTGGAGCTTCGGCCTACCACACCACTCGCCACCCGGCCAACATTTTGAACGCATATGGACATCTTCCTGTCCATATGCATTGAAAATCTTGGTGGTATCATGACGAGTGGTGCAACCGGGCCCCTACTCTGACTGTTCTTTACTGTCTGACTGTTCTTTACTGGCCAGCCCGCCGCATTGAACCGCGCCATGGTTCACGGGTAGCGAAGATGGCCGCAGAGCAGTGGGGAGCACGTCTCGGAGCTCTGCATAGTCGCGTGCTGCGTGGGAGCCACTTGTACTGGCAGGCGGTAGCGGTTCGCACAAACATGTGTGGCATGCATGCTACCGGTAGCAGTTCGCATAGACGTGTGCGGCGTGCATGCTACCGGTAGCAGTTCATACCAACGTGTTCCGCATGCATGATAGCGTGTGGTTTGTTCACCAGTCTAGTGACCCAAAGCTGTCTGTCTGTTCCACGTGTGGACCGTCTATATGACACACTGTTTTCGATCGGCAGATTGAAACCGGCGAGTTATTATCATCTTTTATCTCTAGGGTGATGGCCGGCCTCTCATTTTGTGTGCGTAGTCAAATGAGCAAAGCTTCTTTGTGAAGAGAGAGAGACGAAAAGATATCATCGTCGAACTGATCGTGCCAGGTCTGTATTTCAACAGTTGATGGGTGCAGCAACTGAGAGCGTACTCACACTACCACGTATTTTCGCAAAATCGCATATTTTACGTGCTTTCGGGGTCATAAGAGGCACGTATTTTGCGTGTTCACGCAAAAGGGCACGTAAATGTCAGCGGCATGGACAGCGGCGGGTCCAGAGGTCCCTGCAAAATCGTATTTCTTTTGCCTCTATTGCTTCGTGTGACCCGAGGTGCCATATAAACGCAACTTCACATACGTAAAATTTGCAAAAATACGTGCTACCTCAGTATGCCCTGAGCTAGGGCAGTTGATTGGATCCCCATTATCTGAAGGGCAAGGAACTGCTGTTTCATTTACGCTGACGGACTACCTCGTGGCACGTGTAACTCTTTGTCTTTCTGTTGTGGGAATGCTAGTGCTGTTCTGTACACTGTCAGCTGGTCTCTAGAGAGGAACGGTGAGGAAGAATGGTGTCGTGCAAGAGCATCAATGGAAGGTAGAGTTGTGGTGTAGTTCTGGTAGCGGAGAGGTTTGATTGGAACAGGTATTCGGTTCTCCTTCGGGGAGGAAGCGGAAGGAATTGGGGTAGGTGTCCAAGGAAAACAAGAAAAACAGAAGAAGGAGGTGGAGTAACGGTGGTGCCATGCAAGCTCGCAGCCAAGATGCACGTGCCCGGTTCTGCATCTCTGGGCTAGTAGTGTAAGCATAGTCCTCCTTTCTCTTTCTCTGCGTTCATCTGCTGCACGTCGTTGTCATTGTTCTCCTCCTCCTCCTGCTCCTCGATCTGCTCCACGTCATCATCGCCATCATTCTGCGTGTTGTCTTCATCCTCCCTCCCTATCTTCTTTCCTTGCCTCCTCCTTTGCCTCCTCCTCCTCCTCCTCCTCCTCCTCCTCCTCCTCCTCCTCCTCCTACGCCTTGGAGTCGTTAGAAGGTGTGAACACTTCGATCTGGCGGACGCTTGCGAGAGAATGTTCGCCCGACTTGGCAGTAGCGTGCGGATCTACTCTTGTGGGAGTCGAACCGGGGCTGGCAGTTCCGTGAGTCCTGCAACTCCCGAGGGAATGTCGAGAGTCGTGCATAGATCACTTAGGGGCATTCGGCGAGCGCCGGTGATGGACGGCGGAAGTGCGACGCCGGCTGTACCGGGTCAATCGCACGGTCCGACAATTGCGGGACGGAGAGCAAAAACAGAGTCTGAGACAAGAATCCGTTTCAGATCGGCGTCGACGCGTCGGACTTGGGATCGGGACTTGAGGCAGAAAACCGCGATCTACGAGGGCAAGAAGTTGATCGTTGTCGGGATCTTGGATGGCACTCTGCGTGGTTGGCCTACTGGAAGAGCGACAGTCGGAGCTGCTGCAGGTGGATCTGGACGGCGATCGGAAGCTGTCATTGGAGGCAGGGAGGGATCGGGATCGAGATCCACGGCAAGGGGTTGGACGCTGAGCAGCATCCGTGACAAGAGCAACGGCACCCGCCCCAGGTCTTTCAATATGGAGAGGTTTGACGGAGTCGACGGCGCCCCGTCTCATACGTTATGCTGTGGGATCTCTTTTGTGCGACGTTTTTCATTCGCCGGGTGGGTGCATTATCATCCCACCTTTTTTTTGTTGTTTTCCCCCTTTTTGCGCTCCTCAGCGGCTGTACGCTCCGATCTGATTGAATCCGACACGGTCTGCTTTACACCAAGTACTATGGTTATAACCGTTCCAATTGGATTTTGGATCGATTAGTCTTTGATTTATCGACTGATCTAAAGTAAAACGGTTCTTTCCGATCTCATCGCTACTGAACAGAGCATTCTCTGTGTGTGTGTGTGTGTGTGTGTGTGTGTGTGTGTGTGTGTGTGTGTGTGTGTGTGTGTGTGTGTGTGTGTGTGCTCCCTAACCAGGCACGCGGAGTGAGTGTTTTTTTGACATTGATTGCTCTGATGGTTACCAACGAGTCTAAAGGGTTTTTCTGATGGATTAGTCATTTTATAAAGTTTTCGAAGTTACCGTATTTGATCTGCCCTCCGACCCGTTCACTTCCAAGAAGCTAATAATGATATGGTAATTCTTCCCCCATTCCCTCTCGGGTTGGATACGTCGATCCGCCCCTTTTTTTGGTTTGCATTTGTCAGGATTTGAACTCATAAGAACTGTTTCTCAAGAGTTCCATGTGTTTATCATTCAGCCAGCAGGAGGCTGAAATGCGCTTCCCCCCCCCTCCCCTCCTTCCTTCCTTTTCAAAAAGTTGTTTGGATTATATCTTGGTTCACATATGCGTGGCATCCTTGCACAGGGCCCATGCAAAGTAATTAATCTTCTCTGTAGTGTTCCAATTTAACGGCCGTTATGATGTTGTTCTGAAAGACGAGGTCCACTTTTCGTCTGTTTGTCGTCTAGCGGGCACGTGGCATTGTGATAGGATATGACAAGATCCATCTAATTACTACTAACCTTTTCTGGTTGGATCTTTGTATATAGACTTCGACTACAATGTCACGGGTCTGTATATGTCACGGGTCTCACCTCACTCATGAACAAACTCAATCCTTTCTCCGGGCACAGTCAAGCGATGAGGGGGTATCATTTCCCAATATGATGATCTGATCTTCTACCTACCTACGATCTGATCTTCTACCTACCTACCTACCTACCTACCTACCTACCTACCTACCTACCCGATTCATCTCTGACAGCGTCTGATGAGCCAAGTCTGACAGAGTTTGATGAGTCAATTCTGATAGTGTGATGAGTCCTTTGTTGTCTGTTGTCTTCTAGCGGGCACTTGACAATGTGATAGTATATGATAAGATCCAAGAAGAAGAAGAAGAAGACAAACATGGTGAGAAAGAAAGAAAGAAAGAAGAAGAAGAAGAAGAAGAAGAAGAAGAAGAAGAAGAAGAAGAAGAAATAGGAAGAAGAAGAAGAAATAGGAAGAAGAAGAAGAATAGTGAAAAAATGCGTGTGCGTTGTGCTCGGGGAAAGCCGGCAGTCGCAAGACCACTAAGTATGTTGTCGCTCTTTACCAAATCGGCTGGCTTTAGCTCGGGACTGCAAGTTGATGAGCATACCTGGAAGAGGAAGGAACACGTTGAGAAAGAAAGAAAGAAAGAAGAAGAAGAAGAAGAAGAAGAAGAAGAAGAAGAAGAAGAAGAAGAAGAAGAAGAAGACAAACATGGTGAGAAAGACCTACCTACGTACACGATCTCATCTCTGACAGATTCTGATGAGTCAAGTCTGACAGAGTCTGATGAGTCAAGTGTGTGACAGAGTCTGATGAGTCAAGTCTGACAGAGTCTGATGAGTCAAGTGTGTGACACAGTCTGATGAGTCAAGTCTGACAGAGGTTGATGAGTCAATTTTGACAGAGTCTGATGAGTCAAGTCTGGCAGGGTCTGATGAGTCAATTGTGACAGGTTTAGCCTTATCCACAGAAAAGAAAAGTATCTATAAATCTACACAGATTGCTTCAGGGCATACTCACACTAGGACTTTTTCGACTGAGCTTTGGACGTGATTGCAATATGCATCCAAGTCGGGTCGTCATTGCGGGCAGATACATGTAGGGTAGTACTAGTATGAGTACGCCGTGATTCTTATCCGCTTTTTTCCCCCCTCACATTTATCAAGAATGATCTTGCCCGATCCGTTACGAACGATACCTTTTGTCATAGAGAGAGCACAGTTATGCCCATTGTGCGCTTGCCCATTTTGTCCTGTCCTCGATTTTCTCCTTTTGCTTTTTGCTTTTTCAGTATGTCAGGCTGTTAATAATGCTCCCACGTCGCGGATGTGGTGGTAGTCTATGGAGTAGCAGTTGTTCTCGGCTAGATCGAGCTCGGGAATTGCCGATCCTGAACCCATAAAAAAAAAAGCTTGTTTCTTAAGTCCAAATCGATGGTTCATCAAATCCATGTTTACAAGTTTGAAGTTTACACCCGCTGTGCGCGATTCACGGAAGGTGTTGTGTTGCGGCTGTGTGAGGGGGAGGGCCTGCCTTTGCGTCGCTGCCACTCCTTCGGTCTTATTATGGTCCCCCTCCCCTCCTCCCCCCCTCCCCCCCCCGGCCCAGGTGCATTATGATCTACCTTGACTTTTGGACGTCCCGGTAGAGATCATGTACGTGGCCCTCTGGACGCCCAGGTGCACTATGACAGGCAAACGTATACTACGGTAATCTTGTTAGTATTTCTAGTATATTTTCTAATCTTGTAGTTTTCCCCATATTTCTAGTATATTTTCTAATCTTGTAGTTTTCCCCATAACGAAGGGTCTGAAAATGACTTTTTTTTCCCTCCACCCCAAAATCCACTGCCCTGAGGTTTTCCACTTGCCCGGTTTCCTAACCGTAGATTACTGTCCTCACCCGAATGGAACGCACGGTGATATCGCTGTGTCTAGACCGGAGTTGACGCAAATACAGCTATAGTGACCGTGCGTTCTATTGGGATGAAGACGATAGCAAGATGGATGGATTTGGAACATTCCAGTTGAGTGGGACTTCGTTCAGCTGCAGTGATTACCAATAATAAACGGGGACCTCACAATTCAACCCGGAGTACTGACAGCATCAGCCAGCTTAGCTTACAGGCTTTCGCCTGCAAAAGTCAGTACTGTGGACTTCCAGTCCTAAGAATGTAACAGTCTATCATTACTTAAATTATAACCAGATCACCTTGCTTTTTAAATACTAACTTGCAGATGTGAACTATCTCAATTGCACTGAGCAGAAATGTATGGAACGTAAGTGAGATCTGATCAATTGCCAGTTACTACTCATTCATCAAGCAAGACCGACATAGCCTGACTACAGGCTATCCCACATCTGGGACTAATGCGACCCAGAGGACCAGGGCTGGTCCGGTCCTATCGACACTCATCTAACGGCCTACGGTTTACCCAACCGAGTGCCCTGGTTGGGAGATAAGTACCGCTCCATCCCTAGGCTGTCTTGCCCACTATCGACAAGTCTCCTCTCTAGAGCCCCACTACCTGCATGCCCCCTCCCCCTGTCGGCTAGCGACCTTGTCTGTGTCCAGCAACAGGACCAGACCCTTGCGGGGGTGAATCCTCGCTAACTGTTGGCTCCTGGCCCATGACCTCTGACACCAACGTATCTGTCTTGGCCTCCCCCTCCCTGCTTTTGTCTTCCTTCGCCAGTCCACCCGGATGGCTTGTCTCAGACCTTGTTTGAACCTGAGTTTGATTTCTTGTTCTGAAAACGGTCTCTTCTGGAACCTCGACCTGTTTCCAGATCCTCTTGGATACTGGGCATTCCCACCAGAGGTGGCGGCACCTGGTACAACCCAGATTAACCTCCATGCCTTTGCTGAGTAGCCACACCGCCAACGGGGTCACCATCAAAGAGAGGAGCTAGAGAATGCTTACTTGCTTGCCGTTCGGGAGGGAGATCAGAGCCTTCCACAGCCTCTCGAATTCTGGTTCTGCATTCATGAACTCGTCTCCCCATACCTCTTGCCACCGTGAGGTAGCTATCTGTGCTGGCTATCGGAGCAGGCCCGTGGACTGTTGGTATCCCAGAGCTAACGAATAATCCAACAGTCTGAGGGGGGGCTCCTCTTCCTCCCTGCTGGCCCACCCCCATGTCAGCGGGTCAATGTTGAGCTGGTGCAGGGGGACCCTGCCTACCCAGGTTAGGATACATGACACCGGCCTTCTGCTGTTGGTTTCTACCACACGAACTTGAGCCGGGTTATCCCATTGCATGATGGTCTGATCTTCTATCCAAGCCCGGGTGTTGAATGGACCTGAACAGCGCCATCTTTCTACTGTTTGGAATCCTCTGGGGAGAATTTCGTTCACTTTCCACAGCACGTTCTCTTCCGTCTCCAGTTCTGAGACGTAGCAAGTACTGGGAGGGTCCAGGCCTGTGGGATAGCGGCGATGACCTGCCCGCCAGTGCTCCTCCATGCGTTGCAGCCCTCTGAGTTTCCTTTACCTCTGGCAGCGGTCTCCATCCCCCTAGTATTAAGCACCACAGATCTTCAATCTGGGCTATAACCCGCTTGACCCATGACTGGCCGAATGTGCCCGTGGAGCCGTCTGCAGGGAAGGGAGCTGAATTCCGGTTGGTGATGCGTGGGTTTTCGGACAGTACCTGTTTCAACACGTCTTCCTTGGTGGCTGGTGGACTCTGCACATCCGTTGGGATTCTCTTCCAAGCTTTACGGACTGCCTCCCAAAAGTTGGATTTGAGCTTTTTCTATACTCTTATTAAAGTGTAAGCCGGGCGGCCAGTTTTGGGAAAACGGCATTCCCTGTTGGGCCCGCGGCGTTGTGTGGGCCACACTGGCTGGGGGGGTCGCAAAAATCCAGGCGCACGTTCGAATACAAGTACATAGCTGCAGACTCTGAGTTGTTTTTTTTCCTTTTTTTTGGCATCTTCTGGCGCCACGTGCAGTTGGTTGGTGGGCTGTTTTGTTTTTTGCTTGGATTATGAATGTTAAATGGCAGTGTTTATTTCCAGGTTCTAGTGGAAGATTCATTCTGATTTTGCTCATCCTATAGATGGAAGTAGCCTCTCTCTATCTCTCTGCGCGCATGGCTGGACAGCAGTGTATATTTCCATATTCTAGTGGAAGATTCATTCCGATTTTGCTCATCCTATCNTCTCTCTCTCTCTCTCTCTCTCTCTCTCTCTCTCTCTCTCTCTCTCTCTCTCTCTCTCTCTCTCTCTCTTACATTTGCATCTGACAGCTCCTTGGTCCATATTCACACTGGGATTTATTTTCAATGTATCTGTCCATTGCGGTGTATCCTCCTATGTTCTTGCGGAAGATTCCTTCTCATTTTGCACATTGGCAGGCTGCTAAGTTTATGCATACAATGCGACACATGAAAAAAGAAAAAAGAAAAAAAAGTGTGGCAGTGTATATTTCCATGTTCTGGCTGAAGATTCATTCCGATTTTGCTCATCCTACTCACACACACACAGACCGACATTGCCACGCTTCCTGCCCTGTATAGGCAGGACTGGGGCGCTGCTTCGCTGCGCTGAGTCCACTTGTTTTGCTAGAGGATGATTTGAAGAAGGATGCCCAGACGTCTTTTTCCCTTTTCAAGCCCCAGTAGAGCATCAGGATACGTTCTGCCAGCACTACCCAGTGCTCTGAAGGATCTCTTGTGGCTACCTTTGCTACCCATCCTCGCAGCTGCACCTGGTTCCTGCGCGCGGGGTCCAGCAGCCCCAAACCCGCGCAGGGAAGGTGAGCGTGTGCAGCACGATTTTGGAGATGAAACCCTCATTGTTTTGAGCTCGAGGCTTTCATAGGGAGCGGGCTATCAGTCTCCTGATGGGCTTGAGAACGCCTGCTGCAATCTCCCTCACCATAGAAACAAACCACAGGATGGAGTACAGGGCAACATTGGTGACAAGGGCTCTCCCTATGATGGACAGGTGCCACGGCGTGCCCCAAAGCCTGAGGCGATTTGTAATCCGCTGCTGAAAAATCAAACGTTGGGAAGAGGCACCCACTTGTAGGCTGACCATTACACCCAGGAATCTCTCTTCCTCTCCGTTCTCCACTCTCTTCATCCCCCATTCAACCTTGGGATCAAACTGCACTAGTAACAGGTAAGTGGATTTGTTCCAATTGACCGAGGCCTCCGAGAGGATAGAGTATTCACACATACTGATTTCAAGGTGGACAGCGATACCTCCAATTTTTTGCTGACAATGAAAAGATCGGCCGCTAGAGCCTTGACTCTGCATTCTTCGCCGTTGTGAAGCTGCAGCCCCCTGATATCGATTGGGATGATGCCTGATCCTGTTTAACAACACCTCCATCTGCAGCACGAAGACTGGAGGAGCCAGTGGACAGCCCTGTCCGAGTGATCTCGTCAGTGGAAAAGGCATGGATAGGTGACCATTGATCATAACTGCAGATGAAGCGTCTATGTATATGGTGATGATCCAGGCACATAAGTTCACTCCAAACCGCATCCTCCTCGACATGGTGAGAACGAACGTCCAGCCCGCCATGTCGTATGCTTTCTCCAGGACCGCTACTTCTCCCTCTGCACTACCTCGAAGGTCTTGATCGCAGTCACAACGTTGTTGAAGATTGAGCACCCTTGCACGAGGGCCCCTTGATCCTTCCCACCAAGTCTGGAAGATACTTGGAGAGGTGGTGAGCTAGTGACTTCGCCAAAACCTTGTACGAAACATTCAGGAGTGATATAGGGCGCCAGTTCCTCACTTCCGCCTTGTCACCTTTCTGGAATAGAACTGTAATTGCTCCATGCATCATGCCTTTACCCAAGTCACCCCCTACTAGGATTTCGTTAGAGATCGACTAGCTGGGGCCTGAAAACTCCCCAGTTAGCGACATAGAATTCAACCGTTAATCCATCCACTCCGNCTGAAAACTCCCCAGTTAGCGACATAGAATTCAACCGTTAATCCATCCACTCCGAGGTACTTCCTTGTTGCCATGGTCTTGATCGTCTGAGATAGCTCCTCGAGAGTGAGAGGTCTGTCAAGATCCAGCTTTGCAAAGTCTGCAGCCTCACTGTGGTATCATCCCACATATCTGATGAAGTGGAGAGATCAGAGTTCACGTCGTCCAGCGGTGTCCTGGTTGAAAGGATGTCTTAAACTCGCATAGTGAAGCATGCCTACTGCTGTGCATGCTGGCGGAGCTGACACGTCGAATGGGTGCTTCAGTGCAATCATATGGTGCTGTGTGCGGCTCGACAGTAATCTCTGGAAGGTTTCCTTCGACATGTTATCGTGCGTTTTTATTCCCTACTCTCTGAGCTGGTCCATCTGCTTCTCCTCCTGCAGGTTATCCCATTCCGCCATCCTTCTTTCTCGTTCTGCTGCCCATAGGCCCCATACCATTGCATAGGGCCCTCCATGCGGTCCTCTGATTCTTCTACCCTCTTCTTGCAATCCGCTTCCTTCTTATTCCTTGCTCTGGGTAAGATCCTGGAGACCACATCTAGCACTCCGGATGTGATGGCAATGCCACCATCTAACCACTCTGCTGTTGAGCTGAACAGTGGTCTTGTACTTTCCCAGCAGGAGACGTGATCAGACAACCACTGGTTCACCCCTGGCACCCCCAGGATCTGACTGTTTACCCGGAAAAAAACCCTCCCCCTCTCCATACCCAGGTGTAGCCAAATGTCTGCAACCCTCTTCCCTGCACTTGCGGAGCCATACTTGGGCATTGGGTGTTCCATTCAAAGTGGTCAATTGGCCTGTAGGTACCTCCTGGCATATGGTAGAGTCCCCCTGCTTCTGGCACCATCTGTGTTTGCCGAGGGTGTTCCTGCCAGGGCCAGTGTATAGATTTACCGGGACCCTGTCTTGTACTAGACTCATGCGTTGGTACTCGATAAAGTTCCCTGGCCAATCTCTCCTAGGGACCCATGGAGGGATCAGGGACGAGCCTGCAGCCGGTGCGAAGTCTTTATTCCAATGAGCTCCATGAAGGACGCCCCCCTGTGGTCTCAACTCGCCGGGTCCGCTGGCTTGTGGCTGGATCAGGTGCCTCTGTGAGAACAGCCCGTCTACTCTTCTCCCTGGTACTGAGCCCTGAGCTGAGCCCCCCTCGCGTGTGTGCAGGAGCAGGCTACAACCTGCGTCATTCTGTGCATTGTGTATAGGAAAGCCCAGTGGTGAGTGCCCTTGTGTTCTCTGATTCTGGACTTCTGACATACGTACATCTGGTCTGGGGACTGCATTCGTCCCTCTCAGCTCCTCTGTGTCATCCCTCGCAGCTCGGATCTGGTTCTGCAGGTGATCACGGTAGCGAGCTTTGTGGCCACCCTGTCTGCCTCTGTTCCCCCCTTGCCCCTCTTCACTCTGTTTGTATCTCGGACAGTTTCCTTCAGTGTGGTAGCACCACGTACAGTGACGGCATTAGTCGGTGTACCGTGAGACTGCCTCCACCTTCCACGTTTCCCCCTTTGGAGATTGAATGATGAGTTCGTCGTCAATCCTGGGACGGGCTTCTGGCGGCACGTCAAATTCGGCATTCATTAGCTTTGGCCTGTCCCTGCCATATTCCGGAGAGTGCATCTCCAGGAATTCTCCAAAGATTCCTTTGATTGCTCCTGCCAGATAATAGTAAGCATCCAACAGAACCCTCAAGGCTATAATCCAGAATCTAGTCTCTGCTTCTTGAATCCTGATGTCCTGCATCTCTGGCTTGGACAGTCTTGGTTCAACCAAGACTAAATATTCGTCTGTCCCCAAAGTAATCTTCATCTCCTTTTGCTGGATTAACCATTCTGCGATTTCCTTTGCCCTGGCAACGTACGACGTGACATTTGGGCCTTCAGATTTCACTCTGCCTCTCCTTGTTTCTGGATGGAACAGCCTCTTTGCACAATGATGTAATTGATTTGGTTGGGCTTAAAAGAATTAGCGTTTGGAAAAAAAAAGCTGCAGTAAAGGGAGCAGGGAGGGACGTGAAGGGTGATAACTTCCGATGCTCGTCCCGTCAGGATGCACTGAGACACGCACGATGACAGGTGCATGATCTGTCCCAGAACATGCAGCTGTCCAGGGTGGTCCTGGCCGATGCAGAATCGATGGGAGCGTACCCGCTTGGTAGTGGCTGAAGAATGGTGCACTAGTGTAACTGTCATTCTATTTGAACGGATCACGAGTTCAAATTCTGACGGATAAAATTTTTGCCGGTCTTTTCCCCCCTGTTGAAAAGAGGAGGAACCACCACAAGAGGGGAATCCGTGAAAACAGAAGAAAAGAAAGAAAAAGGAACCAGAAAATGGGGATCCGTGGAAATAGTCTTACGTTGGAGAGAATCAAAAGCTCCGTAAAAGAAAAAGAGAATTGGATAGATTCAACAACTTCAATCAACGTGTTGATTGAATTTGTTGGTTGTACGGTCGTGATATTGACCTGGTGGCCAATGATTGAATATCAAATAAAAGGCGTGTGAGCCCAGCCGCCCCCAGCGCACTTACCCCGTGGACTGTTACTGTGACAAGTTTTTTTACTTATGTGACAAATTGAACCGTTTCTCGGTGTTTTATATGTTTTTGGGAGGATGGCCGGTGGGCTGCACGCTCTTCATGATGTTCTGTGCAAGTTTACGTAAGAAAAAAAACTTATCTGACAAATTGAACCGTTCCTCAGTGTTTTTTATGTGTTTGGGAGGATGCCGGCGGGCTGCGTTCTCGTCATGGTGTTTTATATGTGTTTCGGCGGGCTTGTCCCTCCCGAAATAATTATTATGATGTGTTTTTGAAGAGTTGATGGAGTGGGTAAGGTTTGGTGTTCCTGAGGAGTTGTTTCTGTGGTGTGTATGGACAGAGCTGCACGAGGGGAGGACGCGGGACCTATCATGGGAGTCAGAAAGGGAGATGTAGAGGTGCAGGAGCAGAAGCTAGTGGATGCCTCTTCAGCATCTTCTTCCTCTTCTTTCGCAAAGGAGAAAGAGCATATAGAATGGTGGATGCAGGTCAGTGTAAATACTAACTAGTAAACTTGCATTGCAAGTGGTCGTTCATTGTTCTTACTGTGGCCCTGGTGCTTCCAGTGTCACAGTGGGAAATTGGCCCCGTTTAGCTCAGGCTGGGGCATTGCCAAGCAATTCTTAATCAAAGTTTTGGTCAGATACAGCAGGCAGGCAGGCAGATTTTTGAATGTCTCATTGTCTTTGCTTAAAATGTTGGGTGGGAGGGGCGCGGGGGGGGAGTGGGTGGTAGTGGTTGGGGGGGAAGTGGGCAAAGGATAATACAGTAGGCAAAAGTTTGCAGGACATAATAGGCCGTTCATGTTTGACAAAGGACGGAATTAAGCCGATGAGAATGCACCTGGGCATCTGGACAACCGCGAGGTAATCATGAAATTGGGCTGCATCGGTGCATGCCCGTGCATTCTGTCTGACCAGGCTACACGGAACACAAGGCACCCTCGCCATGACTGTATCAGACTGGAAAGATCGCTTGTGTACATGCTTCTGTACACTCATGGTTGGGTACATTGTGTTCGGGGTAGAACGATATTAGTTCCTGTCCTGATGTGAGCGGGCTGCTCATGTACTTTCCTCCTCCTGTGAAATGACCACTGCTGTTGAATGCAAGGGCTGTAAACAATGCCAAATTCATTCATTTGTTATGATCCTGGCCAATTTCGAGATACATATTCATCAGATAGTACAATGCCGTCCACTTGCGAAAAGAAATGAATGAACTTGAGAGGAGAGAGAGGGTTAGAAGAAGAAGAAGAACTAAGAAAGAAGAAGATGATGTACTCAACCATAGACCAATGAGAATGCTCTTCTTCTTCGCCAATCACTCTCCTCGTGCTTTTCGCCTCTCTTATTTACACAAGAAATAATAATACAATTTTGAATGGCTGAACCAGAATCAATGTCCAAATCCCTCTTCTACTGCAGGTATCACATGAGGTCCACCATAGCCATGGCCACCCTTCTTCCTCCTTTGTCCAAGGCCGAGGCTATGGCAGACTACTAGGGGCTGGCCCTGATGTCCAAGGGACAACCCAAAGCAGCTATGGCTGCCCTAGCTCAAGCCGCCATGCCAGACTCTGCCCCAAAGCTTCGTGGTGTAGCTCTTCCCCAACTGGGGTCTTCCTGCTGCAGCGCCCACCAAGGTGATAAAGATGGCAACCACCATAGCCAGGTAAGTACCTTTGGCGCTCCTCCCTCCTAGTCCCGGTCTTCTCCCTCCTCCTATCCTTGCTCCTCCCCAGCAGCGCTGCTGAATGCTATCGCTGTCGGTGCTAATACCCTTACAAGGGTATCCGCCCTGTTTTTTGCAAGCGACAGAAAATAAGTTTGGTTTAAAGTTTAAGTATACCGCGGTAGGCGCAGCAGTGTCTGTGGTTTACATTGACTGAATAATTGACTAGAATAGGGAGTGTGTGGGCGTGCAGGTTTAAGGCGCGCGCATTTTCTTCGTTTGATGATGATCGAAAAGCCTGCGTAGTTGCCGACCAAGGTATTTCTGATTAAACTAGGATTACCAAGGTTGTCTCTTGATTGGTGCGCTTGCCTGTGACTTGTGCATATGTACGGAGGATGACATCAACAACAATGTGGTTTTGAAAATGTATCGGTAGATCTATGCGCCGTGCAGTATCCGCTTGTTTAGGCGTCCGTCAAAAACTAGACCCAGCCTTGGGCCTAGCACTATTGGTTACGATGTCGGACTTTCATCAAAGGGATTCAGGGTTCGAGGTCGGTGAGCGACGGTGCGGGAGTGTAGGAGTGGCGCGAAGGAACCGCGGGGTTGAGAGTCCGATGAGGCTATCTCCTATGGTTTTGCTGCCACGACGCCGAAGCTCTTTCCTTACCTTATGGTTTTATTGTCCTCTGGAAATATTATTTTACCTTTATTTTTAATCTCATTTTTGTTTGACCTCCTCGAGCAGCGTGCGGTACCAGGATCGATGGTGGTTAATGTACATATGGGCAGGTGAGTGATTCCGCCCACGAGGTGGAAGAGACCTTGGTGGCGTGAGCCCTTTGCGGACGTGCCGGCTGCAGGCCGCAAGTCCGCTGTAGGAGGTTTGACTATGAGCATGCGAGTTGGACCCGAAGGAGGGTGGGTCTTATCCTGGGGCAGTAGCGAGGGGCGGCCTGGAACATGGTGAGGAGGCCGCAACAATGCTGCGGAAGGGTTGCGAAGTGCAAGGAAAACCTCCCCACACTTGGTCATCAAAGTTCTCATTTGAATATTTGATGCTATCACCAAGAACGACACTAGGCCCCATTTCACAAAGCCTATATTGCCGGTTGCGCCGCGAGCCTCGCACCCTCTACCCCGTCGTGATGCCTAGAATCGTACCGCTCTCATGCGGGGGCCGTGCGCGAGGCAACCAGCCACTGATGGGGCTGATGGACTCGGGTAAGTGACTTGTTATACGCGCAGTCGTCGAGGTATTCAAGCTAACGATTAATCGGGCTCCTACTAGAACCAGGCGGAGAAGGAAGGAGACAGACTACGAAAGGACGGGGTGGTAAGCGACAAGGGAGCAGGAAGAGAGAAAGACCCCGGACGCGCTTCGCGCCAGGGTACATTCGATGTTGAAGATGGCGAAGAGCTTGCAGAGCTCGGTTGGAAGTAGATAACTTGGTCGTTCCTTAGTCAAATCGATCGAACGAAAGGGTAGAACTGGGATTTTCAACCCGGGCGAAGTGGTTGGTGAGGTCAGAGTTTTAGTTAGTGAAGTCTCTTTAGAGTTAGTAAGGAAAAAAGCCGCGCAGAGATGAGTGAACAAGCGGGTATGGATGAGAGGAAAAGTGAGTAATTCGCCCGATTCTCAACGAGATCGGGCAAACCAAGACTCGATTCTGGGGTTATGGAACCTTGTGAAACGATTGATGGAATCAGAATTGGGAGTAAGTGCTTAGTGTATGTGGCATGACGTTTAGAGGCTGCGCGGTGCATAAGCGGGGATGAGCGGGAAGGATACACACCTGGGCTTTCTTCTCGGAGATGATCCATTCTGGTTTGACGGAGCGATCGTTGTTGTTGCTGCCTTTTTTGCTGCCCATGGCATGCTGCCTTGTCGCTTCCAACCTTGGTTGATCTAGCGCTGGTTTGAAAGGAGCAACGATCGAGGGAAGATACATTGCGATTGAGTGTGGCAAGATAGAGGCAACGTTCAACAAAATCGGTGTGAGAAACTTGTTTCGAAAGGAAAGGTTCAGACGACCGTGTTTGCCTACCCGTGGGACCGTAGCCATCGCCCTTGTGAGCGAACTCGGTGTGTGCTCGGATCGGTTTGCGATCCTGAAAGAGGTAAATGAGAAGGGGAATACTTACCTGCTATATGTATTCCCGAATCCGAGTCGAGAAGTCATTCTTCTTGAGTACGGGAACAGCGGCAGGGAAGTTGATGTCGAGCGTATCTGTTGATACACTGGTGGAAAATTTCATTCTGAGTCTGCCCGTTTTACCGGTAGAAGGGGCGTAGTTCAATCTCTTTCGTTTCATGGTGACTCGTCGCGCCTGCATCTATACTTCGGGAGTACTCAAGACCGTGCTTACAGATCCTACAAGGGGGGGGGGGACATGTACCAAGTTGTATTGTGAGTCAAGTGCTTTGAGAGAGAGGGACGGGCAAGAGCAGTCGCAGCCAGGTGAGAAGCAACAAGAGCACCGGTAGGTGCAGCACACGAGAGAGGGAACGCCTGCTTGGCTGAGGCCGTGTGCAGAGCCCTGCACCACGATACCTTGCGCCAAACTATAGTTTAACGAAGCTTTGTCTTCAGAATTTGAGCGTGTGGGTGAACGCTTGCGATTAGACATATGCCTTCGAAGTTCAGTCCGTGCTTCGGTGACTCAACTTGTGGACTTCGAGTAACAACCCGACCGTGCAAGTGCAGCTTGTGGCTGCTAATAGGAGTGAAGGCATGTAGCTGTGTCGTCACCTGCAACTAATTGAGTCGAATGCTGTTGCTGATGAACTTCATGGTTGTTTGTTGTTGACCAACACGACCATTGTATACTCGTCAGGCTTTCGTCGTGTTTCAACTGTATGAACTGAGCTTTGTTGCGCTGTGCAGTACAACCTTTGATATGGTTATCACGTGGAGTTTTGGTAGGTGTGGCATTGTGCTACTTGTGTTTGGTACTGCCTATTGGTGCATTGCACTGTTGCTGCACACGTGTGGCAAACACACAATATTCAAGCTAAGACCTGTTACGGCCTCCTCGCGCTTCGCGTAAAGCACATGGGAAACGGTTGGGCTGTGAACAGGTAGTTTTCATTTCAGACTGGAGGACCGCCAGAGGGTCAACAGTTAGCAGTTTGGCGTTGGATTGACCAAGCTGCCGTGCTTTTAGGCCATCATTGCGGGGCCCTCAGGCGATTAAAGGCATCAAGGCCCTCTCCTGCAAGTTGAGTCTGTCCCTCTCCTACATCTCGAGAGTCTAAAACCCCTTCTTCTGCCCATTTCAATCTAAGTCTAATCCTGGTTACGAGAGAAAGGCGGCAGGCGGGATTGCAACCCGTAGGACCGCAACAACACTCTGTGGGGAGTCAGCCCATCGATTGCGGGAACTCTGTTGGAACTTAGGAGTAGTTTTGGAGGCAGGGAACTGAGAGGCAATCATTTGCTTTCCTTTAGTAAACCCTGTTATAACCCCTATTTGTAATTCTTGCTATGTTTGACTCAGTATATTGTTTGCATCACTACTTTGATTTTCAGTTTGACTTTCAAGACACGATTCAGACTTTAGTAAGGGAATGCATGTATAATGTCAGTTTCAATTTTGTTGTCTTTCTGAAAGCAGATTGTGGGATTGCTTCTGGGGGAAGGATGGGAGGAACGCAGTATTGCTTGTGGTTGCCTAGGTCCATCAAAGGCTGGGCAAGTCTCCATAAGTTCGGGGAGGCCCAGTGCTATGTTTATTCTAGAGTTGCCAGAATGACCAGACATGTTCCATAAGTTTGGGTGGTCTGGTTGCTCTGACTTGCGAGGGTTGT